TGAGGCGCCGTCCACACTACGCCGAGAAATTTGAAAACGTAGCTGAATTCCTACGATCAGGCCTACCGTCCACACTAATCCGGCACGAAAACGGAGATTTTCGAAAACGCTCTTCAAACCGGAGGAATTTGAAAACGCCGTTTTACTGCACCCTCGAGGTTTTAAGGATACAACGAAGAGAAAATAACACAAATTCTCTAAAGGAAACTAAGAACTTTGGAGCTACTTCAAAGTTTTATACTGTACTGTAAATATTTCGGAAGCTGAAAAGTCGGTTTTATTTTCGGACACTAGTACTGTTTCTGTGCGAAATTAAAATCGTCCGCAATTTTTGGCAAGTAATGTAGTAACACTTGACAAGTTAACGTAAGCTGACCGCACAGTGCTGTTGCTAGCGTTGCGTATCTGTGAATACAAATGAAAAGTATACAAACTCTGCGGCCAAGTGAAGCGGGATCCTCTCCTCGTTGTCTTTCGCCCTGACATTAGCTCCAACAAGGATTAGACGGTCTATAATCTATTGCAAGGGACAAAAATATGAAAATAAGAAGCTTTGTCATATTCATATTATAGGATGATCTATTAACATTAAGATTGAAAAGAAAAGAATAGCCTAGGAGGTCGAGGGGGGTGGGGGCGCGGGGTGGTGGAGAGGTGAGAATATGCCAAACAGCAAGAGATTAGAAGACGCTGTCGGTTTATATGGAGAAATCTTTAACATTCCATTGATTACACGATCATGTCAAATTTCAGGAAATATAATTTGGTGCAACAAAGCGATGAAAGACCATGAAGGAATAGTCTGTCCACCTTTCAGGTTATCAAAATGGCGGTTTGGTAATCATGAATCTAGAGAACTTGGGGTTAGTGTTCACTGTTAGTATATTTACCACTTATTGAATTCCTGAGTTTTTTTTTTTTCACTTCGTAGTAGTATGACTAAATTAAAGGAAATGTAGGTCTGTTGATTTAGTCTACAAGCCTGCATGAGTGACCTTTTATATATTTTTTATCTTTTCTATTTATCTATTTTTTTTTCTTTAAAAATAGACTCAACTTTACTAGTCCTGATCATCCCTTATTGGCAACATATTATTATTTATTTTGGATGTCAATTCTCTTCATATTTTTCTCCCAATTCGCGTCAATTTACTTCCTAAAAACTGGAATGCTTAGCCAAGTAGGCAGAAAAACCGTAGCTCTAAAGTTAACTTACATCCACGTTTTGTGTAGTTGCGGCGTAATGTGTTGCTGTTTTGCCATATTGATCTTTGCTCTCTAAGAGGCTATGACCGCCATTCTAAAAAAATGATAATAATAAAAATAAAACACTGATCTCAAAAGTTTTGCTTTATAACAGTCACTACAAGATGAGATCCGATTCAATTATCTTAACCTCAACGGAATAATCCATTATTTATGTTTTAAACTGTTCAAGTTTAACACTCTCTAATTTGAGATTAATTACATTTTCATTAAATGAATTGAATAGTTCATGAGTGCATAGTTATAATAGTGGGAAATGGCTAGGAAGGCCGGTAAACATCAAAGAAGCAAACAAACAGGCTAAGATTTATGTTGGAAGGTCCTTGACCCT